GAGCCTTTTTTAGCTAACCAAAATAGCACAAGAGTTGTCTTCCCTATATGTATGAGTCATAAGAAATTCAAATTGTTCAATAAGTTTTTTATTGTCCTAACAAATAATTAAATATTTAACCTTATCATTCACCTTTCAAATAATTTTGTTAGTCCTTTTTTTGTTGATATCATCCACTACAAGAAATTTATCAAATACATGTGGAATTTCTGACGGTTTTGAATCCGCCGGAAATTCGGCGGTTAAACTTCCGTCGGCATTTGATAAGTTCGACGCCATTACCAATAGAATAACCACCGTTTCAAGTGAATTTTTTCTGACGACTATAGCCGTCGGAAATAACACCGATACTAGCCCAATTTCCTCTGACCCATTCTTTCTTCTTCATTTCAACGCATCTCCTTCCTTCCATCCCACAAAAAGCCGAGAGTCCCTCTTGGAGCTACAGCTGTAGCTCCAACCGACCTTCCACCCGAGCTGACGCTGGCCTTGATGATGAAATGTCAGCAAGTACAATTGCAACTTCCGAATGACCAACACAACCTCTCGTAGACTGACTTTAACCTAACTTTGGTTGTCAATACCTAGCTAAAGTAAGCTATGGGCCTCTGATTCTGCATGAGCACCCCCAATCTATACTTGATGCATCAATCTCCACCTTAAAAATTTGGCTAAATTTTGATAAGGCCAGGACCAATACCATAGTCATAACCTTCTTCAGTCTCTTAAAGGCCTTGGTAATAGTCTCTCCCCATAGAAAGTTATTCTCATTTAGCTGCTTCATTAGTGGCCAAGCGTTGTATTCCCTCACAAACCTCCTGTAGTTCCCTATCAACCCTAAGAAACACCTCAGCTCTTTCGAGTCCTAGGTAGCATCCATTTTAGCATAACCTCAATCTTGGCCTGATCAGTGGCCACCCCCTCATGAGATACCACGTATCCCAAATAATCCACATTAGGTTGTGTAAAGTAACACTTCTTCATATTGGCTCGCAACTAATACTCCTATAACACCCCGAACACCACCCTTAAGTGCTCCGATGTCATCAAATACAACCATCACAAATCTCATGTTGTATTGTCGTAACACTTTATTCACAAGAGACTGAATGTAGCAGGGGCATTGGTGAGACCAAGTAGTATCACCAGGATCGCGTAGTATCCCTCATGGTTTCGAAAAGCAATCTTCGGGACATTCTCCTCTCTCATCATAATCTGATAAGACTTGGACTTCAGATCCATCTTCATGAGCACCATCGCTCCACCTATCTCATCCAATAACTAATCGATCACCAGAATAGAAAACTTGTCTAACATAGTTTTTTTTATTTAGGGCCTGGTTATCCACACAAAATCTCTAGCTCTCATCCTTCTTCTTGATTATTAAAACTGAGCTTGAAAAAGAGCTTACGCTTGTTGACCTCGATTTTGGCTCGATCATGCTCGAGCACGTTTGATCTATTTAATCGAACATCGTTGAGTCCAATTTGAGCTCGAATCAACCCGATTCGAGCCGGATCAGACTCGAATGTGTTCGATTAGACTCGATCATTTTGTTTTGGTCGCACTGTGTCCGAATCGATTTAAATTAATAATTATTCTAAATCCAATTTTATTTGAGCAGTTTTATTGAGCCGGCTCGAGCCCAGTGTGATTCAAATCGAGTCAAGTTCGAACTCGAGCCTAACCTGATCTTAACCTAAATTAATCTGATTCAGCCCAATCTGATCCCATTAAAAACCATTTGACTTTCCACATATTTTGAATTCGTTTCCTTGATCAGGAAATTTCTTCGACGGCTTGGATGAAATGAGATCTGCATTTCGGCCGAAATCGCGCGCCTCAGCGATCTTCTGCGATTCGGGCAGACGTCGAGCAGCGAGCAGACTTCTTTTGGGATGATTTCGGAAGCTGAAGCAAAAAGAGGGCGAGGCGCGGGCTTCCTCCTTCGGCAAAAAAAGCTCGATTTACTCGAGAGGAAGGCTCTTGGCTAGAAAAGGGGAATCCGGTTCTCTCGGTTGAACTCTCTCTCTCGCTTCCATACACCCGAACTCACTTCCTCTCCCTCAAGCGCTCCGATTCCTCTCTCTGTTCGCGACACACCCGAAGGTCGAAGCCGCCCGAGCTCCCCTGTTCGCGCGACTCCAGCCCGACTCCGGCCTCCCTGCGCTCGCAAGACCAAACCCGTCGCCCTACCTCCCGTCCGAACTCAACACCGGACCCTGTTCACACGATCGGTCCCGACGCTAGCCCCAGCCCGACGCCGCCTGGCTAATTTTTAAAAATCCCGCCTAAATTTAAAAATTACTGCCCATGGCTCGCGAGCCTGGTCGAGCTCGATTACAGTAAGACGAGCTCGAGTTCGCCTGTCAAGCTCGAGCTCGCTTTCCAACTAACGAGCCGAGCTCGATAAGGGCCTAAACTCGACTCGACTCGATTGGTTTACACCCCTAACTCAAGGTGATGACATGCTCATGCTCCCTCGATGGTGTCAATACTTGAGGTGGCTAAAAGACCTCATGGAACTACTATATAAGCAACTGTACTGAAAGAGGGATGTCTCCACCTCCTCCAATATGATGCCCTCTAAGTTATGCAGCTCCACTAGAAATTCACTTCCTACTAAACTGTTTCCTTTTGAGCACTTTCACAGTAAGACGAGCTCGAGTTCGCCTGTCAAGCTCGAGCTCGCTTTCCAACTAACGAGCCGAGCTCGATAATGGCCTAAACTCGACTCGACTCGATTGGTTTACACCCCTAACTCAAGGTGATGACATGCTCATGCTCCCTCGATGGTGTCAATACTTGAGGTGGCTAAAAGACCTCATGGAACTACAATATAAGCAACTGTACTGAAAGAGGGATGTCTCCACCTCCTCCAATATGATGACCTCTAAGTTATGCAGCTCCACTAACTAGGCTAGCTCTATAGTCTATACCAAATCACAAGACCTCACAACTTTAACTACCACCCGAATCTCTGCTTTTGAGCACTTTCATATAGTTCCACTCTAGTACAATCTCCAAAATCTGATCCAATTAGCTCGCAAGACACTCAAACCTCTCACGGTACTCACCTCAGATCCCTACCGCATTAAAGGGAAGAACTGCTCATAGAAGTCCCTTCCCCTACTGGTTCGAAAATGTTATAACATGCAGTTCTTAAACTCCCTCCAACTCCATATGGGCCACCTTATATCTTAACACTGATATCATATGCCAATGCTTTCCCCTTCAAGCACAGGACAATTGTCATCAGTTTCACCTTCTTCGTCAACCCATTGACAACAAAATATCTTTCCACCCTACAAATCCACCAACGAGCGTTCTCCCTAAAAAATAGGCATCTTGAGCTTCTTCACCCTCGAATCTATTTTGTTCCCCTTGTTTCATCTATAACCTCCCATTCCCCAAGTGGGTGGTCTCCCTCCCCTCAAGTGTTCCAATCATCCCTCCTATGCTCATACCTAAACCCATCATCAAAAATCCCCCTCCTTTCAAAATAAGTACCTCTCTAGACATAATCAGTCCCTTTTCTTTTAAATTCAGCACACATTCCTTCATACCAAACCCCCTCATGCCTCTCCCTATACCGTCAACCTATCTCCTCCATAGAAAAGGGCTCTATAAGAGGTTTTCTCTCTTCTCCCACCATGATCTCCGCATCTTGTTCCTCCTCTCTCTTTATCGGAATAGGGTTCTCCTCGCTCCCTTGGCTACCTCCAAAGACGTCGTTTTGCTTTGACAATCGAGCAACTTCTTCATCATCCTCTCCATAATTGCAAATTTCCCAGAAATCTTCTGATGGACAACTGAAATTTAAGTTTGAAAATCTTAAATTTCATATTTCAATTGCCCGATTCCCATTCCAACGCTTCTACATTTTTTCCTGTCATAACTGGATCTAGGCTCTAAATAGCAAACAAAAGTAGCCAAAATAGTGAATTTGATCTTCAAACAACAAAAATCAGCAAAATCGGAGAGGAAAACATAGCATATAGCTCAGGACACCTGCGTCCATTGTTGCAAGAAGGGAAAACTATATGATATAGTAATTTTCCCTTCAACAAATTTGGATTCAAGGCATCTAGCAAAGTCGACAAAGGAGAGAGATGAGGAGGTAGGTTTCCACATTATGATAGCAACTAACTGGTGTCAATAGTTCGAGTGAACCAGATTCGCCTCAGTTGGGATAATTTATGCCCATAACATTGAGAACCTTTGCCAGTTGGTTCATTGCACTTACAATTCAACCAACAGTTAAATTTTATCACTCTTATCATCCCTTCAACGCAGAAATTATCTTATCAAGCCCAAAATGGAGGTCAACAAAACCATTTCACAAGCTATCATCTTTGCGATTTTTTTTCGTGTAAGGAGAGGTTTTCAATCTTCTCATGTAAGATGATAACTATTTTGGAAGGCTCGGAGAAAGAGATGGAGAGTAGGCAGCAGAAACTCGTAATGATTAGAGATCTCCGCGTCCCTTCCAGGCCGCGTAGCTGTCCAAGGAGGTAATAAACAAAAGTCTTTACTGAAAGAATGGTGGGGATGCTCCACTTGGCTATCGACGTGTCCACCAAATAAAAGATAAAAAGCTTCTTCACAATAAATTCCAAAGGTTAGGTGGAATCCTCATCAATGCCTAAGCGACAAGCACAATATAATAGAAATATGTTTGTTTCCTTTGAAGCATCGCAGCTACCAAAACCCAAAGGTTGAACCACATGTCCACCCAACTGCTCCTGCGTAGCTTCCCCTTGCTGCCGTCCAAGAACAATAAACTAGACCTGTTCGCCTCATGTGCTTGAGCAATTATTACATCCGAGGAAAACCGAACGTATCCGAATGTATACCGATCAATATAGAGTTTTAGGTGCGTGGCGCGTGGTTATTGATCTCTGAACGTATTCGATGACCGGACATAATAATTGCTCCATGTGCTTCCTCACCAAGCTCTCTTCTTTAACAAATCAACAGCTGATATATGAAGGACAAAATTAAGAACAGGGAAACCTTTATAGATAACAATAGGAACATTGAATATGAAACATATTATGGCTGTAATTAGCATTTAATGCAACAGATGCTGGGCATCTAAACACTCCCCCAAGAGGTATTACATGGAGCAAGAACAGATAGATACACAACTCATTTAAAACAACATTGTTAGTGAAAAAAAGTGATAGTAGTAGCAATAACAGCATGCACCATCTGTTCACAAGTAAAACTTCAGGAGCAAAAAGAGACATTAATGGCTGAAACAAGTCATTAGTTGTGTGATTGAAGGATTCTGGTGTCAAACTGCATCTTCTTCCCCACCGTTCTTCATCTAGAAATCAAATCTAGTAGTTTGTAATCGCAAAACCGCTTCTTTGCTCTGAAACAAATATATAGAAACAGTGTTACATATATAGTTTTATGTGCTTAAGAGGTATGGCATGCTGTAATGTTGCTACTGCTAACAGTTGGAATTCACAAAGCTTCTGATCTCCTCCATAACTTCATAGTAGTGGTTGGTGTTAGGTAAGAAATAGAACCCTACTGTAGCCTCTTCCCGGAAGATAACGTTCACTTCATGACCAGAGTTCCTTAAGCCCTCTGCATAAGCAAGTTGCCAATCCTTTGTTAGGTCCAAACTGGCAACAACAAGAAGGCTCTTTGGGAATGGAAGCTCATCAAGCTTCACACCATTGGGACCAAATGGATTGCAGGCTGGGTGATCACGGTCGGCTCCCTCGGGAAGAAAAGCTTTCCAGTACCAGTCTCGATCACCTAACGCAACAAAGTACTTCCCATCCAATTCAAGCTCGGACTCTGTTCTTTCATTGCCGCCAAACAATGGATTGAGTAGGATGTTCCCTGAGATGTGAATGCCAGATTCAGCAGCCCTCACTGCAACATGGTGGGCAATGTTTCCCCCTGAGCTATCACCAGCAAGGAAAACTCGGAGCTTGGCATCCTCGCCACTGCGGAGCCAGGGCTGAGAGGAAGCCCACTTCAGAGCAGTCCAACCATCATCATAGGCGCAAGGGCAGCGAAACTCAGGAGATCGACGGTAATTGACAGAGATAACTACAGCACCACCACAGAGAGTGACAAAGCGGCGACAGAGAATGTCATAGATGGTGGTGTTTATTGAGGAATGAGCAAAGCTGCCGCCATGAAAGAAGATGATCACTGGAAAAGGGTTTGGTGATGGCGGGCGCTGGAGCGCAGAAAGGAGGGCTTGCTGTGGGAGCTCGTTGCCTGTAACAGTAGGAGCAGGGAGGTAGATCCTGACCAGAAGATTTGTGGAGCGGTCAAGAAGGAGATCTAGGGAAACAACGCCATGGACAGGTTTTGCATTTGCTGGTACTTTGCGTTCCAGGTACTCCGAGAGATGACGGTCAAAGCTACCATCTTGGCGGCGGAGCATGCTGTAGGAGACCTTAAAATTGTGAATCAGGACCCGAGTGTTCAGGGGAACCACCGTCTGCGAAGAAGAAAAGAAAGGATAAGTTTACTAGTTCAGAAACGATTAGATAGAATGAGAAGAGGTTCCTTTTGTTTTTTGTGCTTCAAAGCACTGGTCCTGTGCGTTGTTTTTCTTTTTTGTTTTATCTAGTTCGAACCAATTTTGGTAAGGATTGAAGGAGAATGGAGTAGTGACGATTCAAAAATTTCCGATTTCATGAAAAATCGTGTGGATCCGAAGGGGATTGGTGTTCTTTGCAGAAATGGTGGGGTTCTAATGAGAAAGAAAACGAGCAAAGCCAGGGGCTTCGAATCCGAGGTCAAAGCTTATTCTTTTTTCCTTCCCTGGCAGGAAAGGGTTGCAGGAGTACCAGCGCGTATTCAAATTCTCTCGATCTCATTGGAAACCGAGTTAATTAAATTCTTCCGCAAAATCAGCTCGCTGTGCTATCGAAAATTTTCATCTGGTAACCCTGGGACAGAAAAGTAGTTTCTAATTTAAACTGATGCAGGATCTCGATTGCAACAGGAACACAAAGGGTTTCGAGAACGGATACAAAACCGGAAGAAGCCAACAATCAAACTAGATCGCAAACCCTACTGAGCCCGGCACTTAAATCTCAAAAGCCTAAACATGAATACCAAATTTACGCATTAATTCTGCATAGAAGTTCTGGAAATAAGTACCAAGGAAGGCAAAGAGGAGAGAGAATGAGCAGGAAAAAGGGATCAGAGCGCAATACCCTTGACTCATTCGCGTAAACCTCGTTGCTTCCGGCCATGGAAAGATACTTCTCTCTTTCTCAATCTATGAATCTACTTATCTGTCTCACGCAGAGATAAAGACAGAGATAGGAGCGAGTTGCAAAGATAAGCCTATTAACCCTATAAAGCTCCCGCCTTTTCTCATAATCTGTCTCGGAGACCAGATTCCAAGAACCCAACCACGAAATCCCAGCTCTTCCTCAAGCTGCTACAGCGCTTCTTCTTCTTCTTCCTCTTTGAAGAACGCTGTAAGAGCTGTCACGTCAACCGAGAGAAAGAGCGAGGGGTAAGTGCACGAGCAGAGACAAGCGGAGGGGGGGAGGCGAAGAAAGATAAGAAGAGCGAAGCACGCGAGGCAGGAGCATAGGGAGGAGTCAAAAGGAGACTAGTATAGAGAAGAAAGCGAAACAGAGAGTGCAGACAGGAGAGACGACAAATGGGGCGGCTCATTAGATTTTTTTGGGGATTTAAATCAGTATCTCTTTTTTAGAAGATTGCAATTTGTAAGGCAATTTCATCTAACATGTATTCATTATTTAATTACACAATTAACGCTTAATTGCTCATTTCCGCTTCACATTTATTCATTATTAAGATTTTTAATTAATACTTAATTGCTGATTAAATAATACCCGCCCCCGGCGCCGCGCCATAAGGCGCCACACTTGACTTGGTGCGGCATGATTGCAAGAGGCTGATGTTGCTAAAATTAATAGATTTTTTAGCAGCTAATTGTAAAAAAAGTTAATAAAAAATAAATTAGCATATAAATATTTATAAAATTAATTTTTTCATCATTAATATTTTTTTTGGAATAACTTTTAGTCATTACTTTTTTATTTTTTTTATTACTTTCAAAAAAAAATTGTATTAAAAAATTATTTTAGAGAAAACAGTAAGATAACTATTTCAAATGAAGCCTATGGCTTCTTCTTTTGGGACGACTTTCTTCTTGCTTTCGAAAATAGCTTTTCAGTACCAAAATTTTTTGAATTTAAAAATTTTTAACTAAAAAGTTATTTTAAAAAACAGTATGAAAGCTATCTCAAACGAAACCTAAATTTTCATATTGAAGAATCTAGAAAATGCTTTGGCATCAATTGATTGCAAGAGTTCATTATAAGAGAGGAAAAGAGATTTAAAATCTTAATTTAGAAGTGCAACAAACACATAATAAGTTATAGAAAGAAACAAATGGTATGGCTTAAAACAATTTGAAAACCTCCACTAATATAAATATTGAATTACAATAGTTCAACCATTTTCAAAATTGAAGAAGTCGTCGTAACAAAATAAAAATTTAATCCATTGATAATATCTCCTACTTGCAATGGAGTAGAAAATTCAAAGGCGCTTATTTTCAATGACGAGCAATCAAAATTAGTAATTTCAAAGAAAGAAAGATGATGTGAACTGGACAATCAAAAATTATATGTTCAAAACTTTTGAGCAACATTAGGAGGAAGAATCTAAGAACAACATATTGAATGTCAAAAGGCTGTCAGAGATGTCAGAGATATCATTTCTCCAGTAAAGTATGATGGTGGGCAGTTAGAGGGCTCAAAAATAATAGAAAGATTGAAAGAGACACTTAAAGCTTTAAATTTCTTAATAAAATGAGGATAGTTGGGCTATATTTATAAATTATGAGGAGTTTTAGTTCTTTGTCCAAAATTATACTAGAATATTTCCTAAATGCACTAATTCATGCCAACTCCTATAAGAGAATTTCCTATAGATCTTGCTCCTAGGTTGATCTTGTTAGCTAGAGGTGGATTATGCCAACATCTAATGGTGTGGTGTGGAGATGGCACTCTATTAGTGAGGTCTCTAAACAATGAATATAAATAAGTATTATTAATGCCATAAGTATAATTAATATAGTTGACATATTATTACGGATTTTTTAAAGGTTAAAACTAGGGCCAATAAAAAATATTAATGAAACGGAATGATATTGATATCAAAATATTCAATTTCTTGAAAACAATCTACTATCAAAATGGCTTGTGAATTAGAATGATGTTGAAGTAGAAAAGCCAAAGTGCTAAAAGTTAAGGAGCAAAAATGGTGATAATTGATCTCTATTGTTTATTTAAGAATGCTATTTCATTAAGACCAATATAGTAATAGTATTTAATAATTCATGAATTAGAGGCCTTTTAAAGTTGCATGAACTTAAAAAAGATTTGAGCAAGGAAAATAAATGCACAGAGCCTAAGCTAATTTTAGAGCAATTAGAAAACATTATCAAGTTGTTCATGGATGGGTGTCAAAATGATAATCACTAGCATTCCAATTGGTGGTGCAGTGTTGACCTACCCTTGTATTTCACATGATTGATACATATAGAGAGCATGAAAGATTGATTGACCAATTTGGACCAACCCAACCCAATCTACTCAAAGCTGGTTAGATCAGTCCAATCCTAAAACAAACTCAAATTCATTTGATCATTTGCGTTGTCGGAACTGTAGCTGCAAAATAATTATTTTGATTGTACGCCTATAAATAATATTGAAGATCATCTAATTCTAAAGTTAAATTATGAAATCTTTTGTTTAACAAATAGAGTGGTTTTACATCAACAATTTACAAAATTATTTCTTATTTAAATGATTTTTTTTTTTTGCACAACAAATCACCACCTCCCCAAAAAATTTGAACATATAATTTGTCGGCTCAAAAATAATTTTGAGTAATGATAGGCATTTAAAAATTAAAGAAGAAACTTCATGTTTTAACTACTCTTTGACCATCAACATAGCCATCCCCTTTTGGTTGAGAACCCATCAATTTCCTTATGGTCACAACTTGGCCTACTAAAAAGTTTGTAGGAAACATTAGCACTCATTTCAAGCAAAATATTTTATAAAATTATAGATAAAATTCGTTTATTTTTCTTAAAATTTACTTTAGAGATTCAATTAAGGCTTGAAAATGTAAGAAATAGACCCATATATAATATGATTAGAAGTTGCTAAAAATATTTGTTTGTGCTCCAAAAATATGTTTTGGATGGGTTTAAGAGGATACTGAAAATGAAAATGATGATTAAATGGATGAGATACTACTAACTGTCAATGATAGATGACCACATGAAGGTTGCATGTCGTTTCCATCAATATTAGGTGCATAGTGTGGTTCTTCATAAGCCGCCAGATGTTCTACATCCTACTTGAACAATCATATTTAGATGCTTTATGTTTTTTCTAAGAATATATAAAGTCATCATATAAAAAAAAAATTGAATGGAGGAGGAATCGCACTATACAAAGAAGCTCTAATTTTAATCTTAAGAAGTGGCCTAAGAATAAGATAATCATGAACTAATTTTCTAAGAGCATCCATATATGATGTTAAAGAGGAAGAGATGTGAAGGAAGAGTGTTAAAATATGTACCAATAAAATAATTTAGTTCCCTTCATGGATAAATCTCATAATTATTCTCTTCTTCTTTTTAGTTTTTTTTTTATCATGTGTCCTTTTTTACATTTTTTTTCTTTATATTTATTAATTATTATGTGAAATTCTATCAAATTGAGTTTAGGGAGTTCTTTACTAGCAAACGTTTTACTATGATTTTAATACTTATAGCTTAATTAAATTTTCTAGACCAATCAAAGATCATCTATTACCAGTGGAAATTTCAGCAGATCGTCCCAATTACCAGCAGTTTATAAAATTTCTGACGGTTAGAGTACCGCCGGTAAAAACCACGCAAGAAATTAACACCGGTGGTCTTTTTCTAGCCTTTTTAATTACCGGTAATTCTGGCGGTCATTTGATGCTAGAAAAGCCGTCGGTATTTGGTGAGTTTCATGTAGTATTAATTATCAACAAGAGCTTACTAATTTCATTTAGATGATATAAACTACCTTCCAATATCCACGCATTTGACATAACCCAAAATTCATTATATACAATGGCCTTGATATCCAAATAATGCAATTATCCACCCAATAATATTGACTACACTATATATATATATATATATATACTAATTAGCCTCACTCCACTAAATCATGACTACTTGAAAATATGGATCCAACCATAGAATGTTGACATAACCCAAAAGATTACTAGAACCTACTACTAGAATTAATACACAACTAACAAAAATAATATGCATGAAATCATTTATGAAAGCATTCATATATCTCAACTGAAACAATCATGTGAACATGAATCATAAATCATAGATATGTGATGGATAAGTAGTTTTGAACTCATAAATACTGATTTTATAAAATAACCTGGGTCTTGATCTTGTCCATCTTATCCTTTTTTTAATATATGAATAATGTTCATGTATGCATGTCATATAAAATCATATCTTGTTTCACTGCATCATATAAACATTTATAAACTCTTGTCCAATAACTAAAATTCTTGTATCATACAGATATCTTGTGGGTATCTTGCTCAAATTTTGAACACTTATAACTCCCTTAATATTTAGCTACAATTATATACACTTATAGCTTCCATATCTCAAATCTTGATTTGGGTATCTTATTCCAACTAACGCCAGTCAATCTACAATTATTTATGCATAAATATTTCAAATTTTATTTTCATAATTATTGCGATGCAGATGAATGATACAAAAGAATGCATTGTCACTATATGTATATTTGCATGTTAACATAGAAAATCTCCAAATCTCATGCATGTCAAATGCATCAACAAATATGTCTTTCTATTATTTTATGTGTCAAATTATTTTACCCTTCACACAAAAAATCATATATGTCATTCTGACCGATAAAATTCCAACATGATCATACGAAACGGTTCGGGAAGTTTATATTTACAACATATATAAACTACACATTGAAAGTTTCTTAAATCTTGATATAGGGAAATTTTGGCAAATTCGGGAGAGATAAATCTAGGAAATTAATACTAATAAAAATAAATGTGAGATTCAGGTTACCCCTATCATGACTAGAAGAAGTTTTGTAACAGAATTGACGAACCAAAATGCTCTGAAATGCCTTCTCTCTCTCCTCTTCTCTCTCCCTTCTCTCTTCTTTCTCTCCTTTCTTCCTGTTGCGGGCTAGAAAATACGCGGCGATAGAGGTTTAATTCTGCGTCTTAGCGTTGAACGGATAACTAGCTCACACACAGAGAACACAAGATTTTTAACGTGGAAAACCCTTGAAAAGGGAAAAAACCACGGGGCCTAGCCCAATTGAAAATGATTCCACTAGAACTTTGAGTTGGTTACAAATGGGCTCCCTCCTCTTCTTCCTTCTCTTCTCTTCTCCTCTCTCTTGCCTGGCCCCCCTTCTTGTGAAGAATAAGGGCTCTATTTATAGATTTTTTGGAGTGGCATGGCCCGTAAATAGGTGTGAGATCAAGGGCGAATAGGGAATTGTTTGAATGGACGGCCGATAGCGAACCCTTCGATCATGCACCGTTTGTTAGACATTTGAATGCCTT